CTATTGCTACTCCTCCTCCTCCTCCTCCTACTACTACTACTACCACAACTACTACCACTACTACTACCAGTACTACTATTGCTACTCCTACTGCTGCTACTACTGCTAGTACTACTACTACGACTCTACTACTACTACTACTACTACTACTGCTGCTCCTGCTACTGCGACTAACTCCTGCTACAACTCCAGCTATTGCTACGGCTATGGCTGCTACTACAGCTTCTGCAACTGCCAATGCTGCAGACCTGCTGCTGCTACTGCTGCTCGTCCTGCCACTGCCACCGCCACGGCCACTATCAATGCTACTACTACTGCTACTAATACAACTACGACGACGACTACTCCACCTACTACTACCCTCCCAAGTGGTTTTGCGAAGGACTCAAACCTCATGGTTTGTAGCTCAAAGCACCAAGCCTCATTTAGTCACATGTTTGTCGTTCTCATTCATCTTAAGTTGTCCTTCGTCAATTTTCTGAGCCTCTAGCTGGCTCTCTTCATTTACCACTACTCCTACTACTGCCAACTACCGCCACCTCCCCACCACCACCACCACCACTGCTACTCGACGAAGAGGACGAACACAAGCAAAAGCGATTTGCGACCGGTTACGGCAATAGTTAGTCAGCATCCCCGTCTTCTTCATGTGAACCAGCAAGAACACTAACTGCGCCGCGGCAGCAAGATGCCTGTCCAACCCCTGCATCCCAAACGGCCTGCATGTTGGCTTCAACCAGCCACTGGCTTCTGCATTCAATATGGAAGGCGGATAGGTACTGCTAAGCTGATGTCAAGAGGCTTCGACCAAAGCGGCTGCGAGACAGGACGCTTTGCCAGTGGGGCATCTTTACGCCTTTACGCATGCCCGGACAAGAACGAATGCAATCCCGGCATTTCCGACACTCGGACAATGGACACCATGGTTCAATGACAAGGTTCCACATTTTACCAGTCACATGTATTCCTGAAGATTAGCAGTTCTCAACCTCTGCCCCTGCTTCAATCCGAGCACTATACGGCCTAACTGCAAGGCTGACTCTGCATACATGGCAGATTATATCAGCAGCTACGTGGTTGATGCCGACACTCATGCCGCCAGGTGTCGTAGTTCCAACACAGACCCCGTTGGAAAAGGGTGTCACTGGTACCGAGCACAGCCCCGGCTGTGCCAGCGAGATCATCCAAGTTAAACCTCGGAGGCAAGCTCTCCTGAAGTGCCCCTGGACAAGAACATATATACTGACATATCTCTATGCAGTAATCATCAGCAGGAGATCCTGTGAACAACGCCAACCTCTCAAAATGTTGATTGTCCTCACACTTTGAATGTAAGGCATCGGTCGCAGACGAAACACATGAACAGGATTGTCATCGCGTTCAGGACCACCTGAGCAGCTCGCCGAGACACTAGAAACTTGTTCGCATCACGAGGCCAAGCTGCTTGAGAAGCGTGGGTCAGCTTCCAGAAGGACACCGGTATCACCAAGATATTCCACATCACCTGTCCCCAATACTTGGACAATCCAACGTCTTCTGTCCCCATGTTGGCACCAGTCACGTCTTCTTCGGCCGGGCATGCAGCTAACTACTCAGCGCCCAGCGCACCAGGCATTGATATAGCCACCTGGTGGGGCGGAAACGTTATGCTCGGTCTCACTGCGGCCTGCTACAGGAACTAGTGCATTTGCCGTCTTCCAGCTCTGCAGTTTGCACTCTGCAAGTCCCTAATTAGCAGGATGTGTCGGACCTCTCCTGGAAACCTTGCCGGAAATGCCATCCGGCAATTCCGACTGAAAGGAATGCCAGCTGTTGAGCAAACCCCTGCCTGCGAAAGCCCAGAAGGAAGCGCAACCAGCAAGACGGCCGAACTTGTATGCATCCTGGCCAGAATCTACAGAGATCGCGGCGACTGCCAAGTTTCTTGAAGAACATTCACCTTCACTGCCAAGGCTGCTTTGACCAACCCACACCCTTAACCGCCTTAACCAACACGATACTTCCTATTGGCCACTTGGCCACCTCCAACTCTTCGTGTGCATAGTTCAACAACTGAACCACCACGAAGAAGGAGAAGACCACGCCCATGAGAATAGTACACCACTCCTGAGAGAGCTTCTCAAAAAAACGCCAGGTGCATTGACACACTTTTACTTCGGCGCAGAGTCCTGTCCCACCCCCCATAAACCCCCGCCGGCCTCCGCTTTATTGACGTCATCGGAACAACACAACACAAAGCCTGATTGGACAGTCTCAGCCAGAAGGGCCCAAGAGCTTCCCAGCACTTGAGCCCTGACCTGGTGAACCAAGGCTCACCCATGTCCCTCTCGACACAGAAGACGTTGTTTACAGAGATGCGCTTCGCAGTTTCAAGGGGATGCTGCAGATAGTTGGTCGGGTCCTGGTCAACTGCATCCGCGACAGAGACAGGTACAGTAGTTGGGTGCAAAAACCGATGCAACACCGAGGTCTACAGCTCCTGCCACAAGCTCAACACCACCATGACAGGGCCAAGGATCTGAACCACGGCGACCTGGCACTCCCCTTGGCCTACATCTCAAACAACTTGTGCAAGACCACAGAGGCAAGCAGGTCAGGAAGTCCATGCAGCCAACAAGCTTTGAGGTGCACCAGTCCTGCGAATTGCTGTATGCCGCTGCCGGCTCATCCTGACTTCAGTCCCCACGTGCCGCGGGCATGTCCGAGTCCTTCCATGCACCTGGCTCCGCGGGGGCGACGAAAAGTCCGCGACTGACATTGCCGACCTCGATCCACCACGAATGGGAAACACAAGTGCACTTCGTAGCGCATAGAAACACAAAGACGCAAAGATGTGCTCTCAAAGTCCCCTGAACTTGTCGCAGCTCGGGCACAAGGAATTCCTCAAGCGGAGGATACCCAGTGGTCTTAAAGCTGTCGAGCTCCCAGCCCTTCTCAGCTTGCTCATAGGCCTGTCACTTCTTGCAAACCCTTACTCGACAGCCGGAGCTTGAGGTGTCAAAGCCCCAAATAGTGAAATTCCAGCCTCGTCCAAGTCCACCTGGACGGGACGGGAAAGTCTTGTGACTTCGCAAGGGCCGGCTCAGGCTCAAGCTGACATGGTGCACGGCAAGCGATCAAAAGGAAGCGTACCCCACTTCCCCCGAAGTACATACGATCCCTGCATCTGCTTGGGCCATATTCCGAGCCCGAGGACGCTGCACAAATAGAGCACACAGAAACTCCATGTGCCTTCGCTTCCTTTAACGATGCGATCAACAAGTTGTAGCGTTCTTCCGACGTGCCGCCCAACGTCTCCTCGAACTCCTGCAGGGCTCCAGAGGGCTTCGTACTTCCTTCTGCAAACTGCCTTCATCTTGGCTTTGTGCCAAACTACGAGTTTCCCGAAGGTCCTCGGCCAGCTCCCTGAGCTGGGATTGCAGGTCTGCGCAATGACCCAGGCGCACCTCTCGACATCTCACCCGTCATTACCCTCATTTACTCATTTTGCGGTCATCCCTCTCCGTTCTCAAGTGAGTCATCTGCGGAAGGCTCAGCTCGGCCACACAAGACAATATTGGCTCGAGTCGGTTAAAGGTACGACAAGGAGAGTTCATCGAGCAGACCGCCCATGGTTGAGCGGTAACAGAAAGTCAGCTTCGACACGGTCCTCGACGACTGTTTGCCCACCAGCGAAAGCCCAGGGGTCTTCAGCTCAGCGCTTGGGAGCCGGAACCCCTGGTCTCGGCGGGTCTTGGAGCGGGTTGTGAGCAGGTTCCGCAGCAGGTTCGCGGTTTGCTCTCTTTCCGAATAGTTTTTTTTTGGCGGAGTTGTGCTTGCTTTCACTTAAAGATATGCTCTACTCCCTTTCGAGCGAGGCGCTCCTTTTAGCTTTTGCTCAACTGCTCTGGTCCCTTTTGCAGGGCTTGATCCCTTTTCTCGAACGCTCTCGTCCGTGTCGAGCGAACTGATCCCTTCTCTCAAAGCCTCTAGTCCCCTTCGAAGCGGTTTGCTCCTTTTGCTCACATCCTCGCATACTTGTCGAGCGGTGTGTTTGTTCTCAAATGCTCTCATCCCTGCAGAGCCCAGTCCGTTTGAGCAGCTGGCTCCTTTTGTGTCAATTGCTCCAGTCCTTTTCGAGCGGCTTGCTGTTTTCTTGAAGGCATTGGTTCGTTCCAAGCAGCTTGCTCCTTGCGTTGTTTCTGTCTCTCAAGTGCTCCCGTCTGTTTCCATCGGTTTGCTATTTCTTCTGAAGCAAGTGCTCTAATCTATTTCGCGCGGCTTGCCCCTCTTCTGAAATGCCCTACTCCATTTCCACCGGTTGGTGCCTCTTTCTCAAACGCTGCAGTCCCATCCCAAGCGGTTTGCCCCCGCCTATCCAACCCTCCATTCCCTTTCGAGCTGTTTCTGCACTCCCTTACGTGCGGTTTGCCGTTACTGAATTTTGTCGGATGGTTGGTTGATTGATAATCCCCTTTGCGCGGTTTGCTCCTTGTTCTCAACTGCTCCAGTTCCTCCAAGTCTGTACAGTCCGTTTCCTTTCGAGGTGCCCCGTTTGGAGAGGGCGTGTTCCTTATTTTCAGAAACCTAATCCCTTCCATATAGTCAAATTCGCTTCACACTTTAATGCTTTTCGAACGGTTTTGTGCGGTTTCTCCAATGCTCTCTAGTCAGTAGTGTGTTTCGACTTGACTGAATCGCTCATTCCTTTCGGAGCGGTGTGTTACTATTTCTCCAGTCGCTCTATTTCCTTTCGATCGGTATGCGCCTGTTCCAATGCACTAATCCCTTCCGGCCAGTATTCTCAAGCTCCCCCCCATGCTCTAATCTGTTTCGAGCGGTGTGTTGCTTGTCTCGAGCGCTCTGATCAATTTCGACCGGTGTACTTGTTCTCAAATGCTCGAGTACGATTGGAGCGGGAACTCCTCTGTCTCAAATGCTCTAGTCCGTTTTGAGTGGTGAATCCCTGTCGAGCAGCGGATCCAGTCATGTTTGCCCAGGGATAACTTTCAAATGTCACAGCCCTAGTGCGGACTCTTGTCCCTTTTGAACGGATGTTTAATTGCTCTACTCCATGTCGAGCGGCTTGTCACTGGTTTCTCAAATTGTCTATTCCTTTTCGATCGGGTTAATCCTTTGTGCTCAAATCCTTGAACTCCTTTCGAGCAGCTTGCCTCTTTTCCGCACATGCGAATCCCCGGCGAGCTCAAATGCTCTAATACTTGTCAATCCTTTGCTCCTTTTGCTCACATGCTCGAGTATCTTTCGAACGATTTGTTCCTTCTTCTCAAATGCTCTAGCACCTTGAATGCGGCTAGCTCCCACTATTCAATCGCTCATGATCGCTTTGCTGTGTTTTCTCTTTTGCTCTGGTCCCGGCATGTCCCGGCCGAAAAGCTCTAGGCTCTCTCGGGCGGGTGGATCCTTTTTCTCAAATGCTCTAGTCCGTTTCGACCGGTTTGCTCGTAGTCCGCAAATGCTCGAGCCCCTTTGGAGTGGTTCAATCATTGATTTTCTATTGCGGTTTGCTTATGTTTCTCAAACGCTCAGGTTCGTTTCGGGCGGTTTGGACCTTTCTCTCCGATGCTCTGGTCCCGTTTGAGCGGTGTACTGTTCTTCTTACATGCGATAGTCCCTTTCGAGCGGTCGTTGCGCATTGTATGTTGCCCTTTCGAGCGGGTCCAGAGCCGGTTCCTGAGCAGGTTCCGAGCGGGTTCCAACGGCATTTCTAAGACCTGAGTAAACCGAGGGTTTTTCACCCCCGAAGCCGTCATGCAAGGTCACCTGACGGATGTCATGTAAACATGCATGACGATGTCTTACCCACTTGTCCTCACCATGTTGCCCTGTGGAAACTGGGCTTGTTGGCTGCCAGAGCACGCCCTTGCGACCTGTTGCCAAAAAGCGCTGATATCCTGGAGTTGCGATCATGCCCGCTCCATTTCAGACGCATTTCTGTTGACAAGTAGATGGCAGACCTCCAACTATTCGGAAATCGTAGCGAGCTCACGAGCACAACAATCTTGCGATCAGTTGTTGGAGCTTCAATGGGCTTATCGCAAAATCACCGTGGCTGATTCGATCTTCCATTGTGGCCAGCAAGGTTTTCTAAGATTCGACGATGGCGATGAGAATCTCGAAGGCCGCAAGAGGTCTTTGAGAATCGACAAATATGGCGCTTCCTGCCCCACCCGAAACCTGCAGATCGACGTATTGCCTTATCTTATCAGTGTATATAAAGTTTCCCGGAAAGCCTCTTCGAGTTTGCGGTTGGATGGGCTGTCTTTGAATGACATCACAAGCAGCACAGGCATCCATCACAGTTAGCCCTGAGCCGCCTCCTGGAGCGCACAGAGGCGGTAGACGTTCCCGGACGGCGCGAGGCGAGCCCAAACGGCGGACAAGTCAAAGTGGCCCCTGCAGCATCACAAAGATACTTCAGTCGCAAAAAAAAGGTTTGCGCCAGGGACAGGCAGGAAAAGCATAGGCAAACGCAAACACTAGGTCCACACTATACTTACGTGCACAAGCACGGGCCAGATGCCAGTTGCCGAATAGTAAGCTACAGATTGAGGCTCTTTCCACCCGTGCTTCAAGGACAAATCCAATTCACTGCTCCTCAAGTGGGTCGAGACTCGGCAGCCGAGCCGTCGAAAAGCCTAGAGAATGCAGCTGGGGTGCTTGCAGCCTTCCACCTCATCCAGAACATCCTCAGTTCCACATCTTCGCACTGAGTGTTTATATAACTCCTTCTTCTGCCGGGCGGACGCGGACCCTGCGCGCCGAAATTCAGGACGCACCTTGCTGCCAGGGAGCGCGATAAAACATTCGAAGCGGATGCTTGGTGTGGAAATGCCTGGCAGCAGTCTGCCGAGAGCGTAAAATGTCGTCTCGGCCGCTCCGTCCCACTTTCAGATAGCACAAAGCAGTACTGAAACAACAGTCGTTACTCCCAGTTGTGCCAAAGATGCTTCTCAAGGGCGCTGGTCTTCTGCATCGAGGATGCTAGTTTCATGTTGAGATATGGAAGGGACAGGAAGCGCCCCACAGGACCTTGACACTAGAACATAACGAAAGCTGGCGCTTTGAGCCAGATGCACATCAGCAGCCATAGCGCAACTCCACAGAGCAGCAATAGAGTTCCATAGAGCTTGCTGCAACTCCACACTTGGGCAACATCCTGCGCGGCGAACACAGAATCGTAGCATGGCGGATTAGCTGCTTTGGGTTGCTATCGTGCAGACACTGAAAGGCCACACAAAAACCAAGAACCCGCAGGCAAGACGATAGTACCCACATCCACGATCGGCCTTTCGCATGGCCTCTCCCCATCCCTTGCCCAGTCATTTTGGCTGCGCAGGTGCTCAAACGGAAGTCGCACAGGGTTCTGCAGAGCACCTCAGGGTCAGTAGCAGATAGACTCGGTTAGGTCACGGAGATGGTGCCATCCTGCCGCACCGTTGCCTTTCGTCTAGCACTTGCGTCACGGAAGACAAGGGGCCAGTTCGTGCCAACACACTCCGGGCACTGCGGTGGCATGTGGCAGATATAGTCCTGGAAAGCATCTTGTGTCATGACACGACGCACTGGAGCCCTGTAGTAGGTGATGACGGTAGCAGTAGCAGCAGCCCTAGCAGCCCCAACATGATAGTGGGGGGGGGTTGAATCCTGCTAGCAGTGCAAAATATGTGTCGTATCGTCGTCGTCGTCGTCGTCGTCGTATCGTCAGAGTTAGCAACAAGATAACCGCGTGATAAGTTCACATTCTCTCTCGCATTCCACAGCCTTACCAGCATCTTCGAGCCCGCCTCGTCACGGCATGTCACTGGACAGCCATCGTCAACTGCAGCGCAGAATTCCGTGCCGTTGCTGCCAGCGCATTGGATTTCCTGAATGGGTGCACATGCCCGACCTCATGAGAACTGCGGCTATCCATCAAGACCATGACAAGCCTGAGGTTGAGGGTAAGTCTGATGACGCGTCTTAGCCGAGAAGCATCCGACGCGCAAACGAAGGGGCATGGCACGTCGGAGCACCAGTTGCTTCCGGTGCAGCCTCGTAGGCACATACCCGCGCACAGAATGCGCATGTGTAGGAAGGTAGGCAGGCAGTACGTGTATATGTATGCATGTACGTATGTACGTATGCATGAGTGCATACATGCATGCATGGGTGCAGGTACGTATGTATTTGTATGTGTGTGTATGTATGTAAGTATGTATGCATGCATTGCACGGGTTGTCGAACATGGATCACTGGCACTGCGACCCTGCATCCCACAGCTGTGAATCTCCAATACCATCCTAGACAAATGCTACGAGTAGTTCAAGCTCGGATACACGGCATGGTCAAGACATCCAGACAAAGTAAGCAAGAACAACATTACCGAGTCCTACGACCGTCCTGCGACTATGTACTATCCTACAAACAACGGGGAACCAGAAAACTGCAACGAGAAGGAGAGGGTACCGGATGTGGGGCCCAACCCGCCTCTGCAGGGCGGCGGGGAGTGGCAGGAGTACTGCGAAGCGTTGCAGTGAACCGGACACCCCTGCGACAAGAGCCGGCAGGTCGTGCCTTGGACGGCTTCGCTGGTTCGGCAGCAGCAAGGTCACAGTCGTGCAGCAAATTAGGTAACGGATGAGGTGCCCGAATCTGCAAAGAGGCTGACAGGGCTACATCGGGCCATTGCAGTGCAGTGCGCACAGGTTATCGGAACACCCACTGTAGGCCCCGACCGTGTTTGTGCAGACATGTGATCTCGTCGGCAGAACACGCTTCAGGACATTTCTCGTGGGAACACCAGTTCACCTCGGGAGCGTCAAGGCTTTGGGCAGAGACGCTGCAGTTTACACGTCCAGGTCACTATCGGCGGCAACTTGACGCTTACATGCGCCTATCAACTGCCCATCAGCACCAGATGCAAGGCTGCCCCGCTAGCTGGTCTCCCCATCTCGCTGCTCAAGACTTGCGTCACCAACAAGGCTGAAATGACCCTCGCGACTCTGCGCCGAACCGTTGCTGACTTGAAGCTGCGGCACTGCTACACAATCTGGACAGTCAGCTTCGGGGGCACTGTGGCATACCTTGATGGGGAGCATCTGGCAGCACAGCTTCATCACACTGGGTGCTACTGTAAGCTGGAGAGTCCGTGGCATGACCTTGCACAGCCTTGCTCTCGGAATTTACTGGCGACGATGCCTAGCCGGCCCGGTTTCAAACATGATGCGAAAACGCAATGCAAAGGTGCATGCTGATGCTTGCTGCAGTTCGCAGGGCAGCCATCCCTTCGATCGTAGCAGGTGTAGACCTGGCAGATGGTGATCTCTGGCAGTTCACACTCAAGATCTTTGGGCCTTTAAGGTCAAAGTCTTCAATGACTACACGACCCCGCCTCGTCCTCCAAGCAAGCCACTTGACTCTTGCTGCAGTTATAAAGCGGGCAAGGCGAGTCGGCTTCGGCGCACCAGTTGAGACCTGAGCCGTCCTGGCAGCCAGACCGCGGAAGAATCTCAGGTTCCTGTTTTGGAACCCTACCAGTACTGTGTGAGCCATGAACATCTCAGTGCGTGGTGGTCGCGGCACGAGCCGGCGGCGAGTGGCACCGGTGTTCGTGCTTCTTGCACTTGACCGGACAGCCTGCTTCCTCAGAACACTTCAGACCAGAAACGCAGCTATTCAATATACTATGGAACTGAACTCAGGTTGGACGGCTCTCTAGGCGGGCATGCCCGGGCGGTGAGTCAGTCTGACATGCCTGCTTAGTGGCTCGAGGCATGCAGATGCCACCGCCATCTTCCTGCTGCTGACGTGGATTCGCGATGAAGAGGCACAGAGGAGCAATGCAGCATGCTGCGCGGATGCCAACCTATAGTTGCCTTTGTTTCCCCACTACTCGCAGGCCCCGCTCCGCGGTGCATGCCAGCTCCGTCGAGTTGCAGGCTTGCGGACACTTCTGCCTTGGCCGGACACCCTCGATTCATACAAGCATGTGCACGCAGAGGAAATGCAGGTCGCAGGGAATCGCAATTCCCGAAGTGTATGTTGTGCAAGTGACAGTTTCAACCAGCACGTCAAGCCGCTTTGAGCACCAGTTGAATCCTTGCTGTGCTGGTGGATGCGGCGGCCAGTGACAATGATGCTCCTGGCGTTTGCCAGGCTGGACCGCCGCCTAAACTCATAATCAGCCCAACAACGTGCAAAACAATCATTTTTGGCAGATGTCCTTGTTGGAGCAGTTCGCCGGGCAGCCATTTGTGCGCGCTGCGCAAAAGTTACTGCCATCATGCCTCCCCCAGAAGAACTTGAACATACTTGAACTCTTGGTCTCTCCCTCCATGAGACTTTACAACCCGGAGGCAAAGTCGCTTTAAGGAGGCATGGAGTCATAGAGCAAGCAGTACTGTAGTGCTGCAGCGTCATGAATGTCATCAAAATCGACCCATGCTTCGATGAGCTTGGCAGCACATAGCACTGAAGCTTGAATTCTAAATAAAAGGTGTAATTTAAAGGCACATGCTATGTCGCTTTACATGCTTTACACAAAAAACCCAAGGAAAGCCGTGCCTGGAGCAGGAGATTTCGTGCAAGTCGCACATTTGTGGACATGGATCCTCAGTTTTGGGATGGTCTGGCTGAGGGCTGCGCAGGAAACTTCAAATCTGGCAGGTATAGAGTACGTGTCGGTGATGCCGGGCAACTGACGAGCACCAGTTGATGCCGGTGCAGTTTTTGCATTGTGGGGGAGCATGGCACTGGTGCCTTCTGTGGCGAGGCACGCAGACATTCGCAGACACAAGCAGCTCAGACGGCTTCAGTGATGCAGCCCGGGTGCTCATGCTTCTCGCAACTAATCGGGCAGCCCTTATCCTTGATTGCATTCAACTGCGGCTGTCCGCTATCAGTGTCGGAAAGCCACCCAATGGCACCGTGCATATCACGGAGTACAGGCATGCGCTCGTCATGTTGCATCCGACCTTGCTACCAAGGAGCTTTGTCAACGCAGACCTCAGAAATCAGATGTGACTTCAGGACTGGGGAAGCAATCCCTCTTTCTGCATCTCAAAGTCTGTGAACTCCTACCCCACCTACAGGAGGGTTCACGCGCGAACAGCATCGAAGCTTTGTCGCCGAGGTGCGTCGGTTCCATTTGCAAGTGCGCACGGCACCTCGGAAGCCTTGCAGATCGGGGAGCAAGGAATGCTGGAGCCTGGGCTGTTCGAGGCGGAAATCGCTGTCTGAGAGACCACATAGGCAACCAAATTGAATGGTTCCAAGCAGCACCAGTTGATGCCCGCCTCACTCCGCAAGCTTAATGAAAAGCACAGGATTGTGCTGCAACGTCGTACAGCAACAATGACATGCCCCCAAGAAACCTCTCCAGCCACACGGCCAGGGCTATGGCAAGAGTATTCTTGCTTTGAGCAGTTGGCGGGACAGCCCTGATGAAATGGTACCTCATTGCTGGTCAATAATGAGAACACGCAGCCCAGCCACAATCGAACAGCACACATGCATTGGCAGCTGAAATGCACAGTAGCTCCCGTTCCGTGCTGCGCAAGATGTCTGACCGTCCTTGACTTCTTGCTGACAGTGACATGCAGCAAACAGCACTGAAGCCACACGATGGGTTTTCCGCCCAGACATAAGTTCCGTCCATCGTGCCTGGATTCCCAACAGCTGCTCGACTCCGAGGCACGGGGCAAATCGCAGGGCAGGGCTTCGAAGAGCACCAGTTCCTGAACGGTATTCGGGCATAGCCTTGAGTTCACTATAGTGATGTGGCGTAAGCGCATGAAGCCAGGCCGAGTCATGGATGACACGTGTGCTTGCCCGAAGGTGCGACTATTTCCTAGACTGCTGAATGACCTCCAGCAGCTGAAGAAGTGGTGCGTGGAGTTATATGCGTCAAGGCTCGTTCCAGCGCAGCCAGCGCAAGTTGGAGGCGCGTGACAGTCGAATGCCTTAGTCGCTACATGACGCTGCGATGACCTCTGTCTCCCAGCCAACCCATGCACCGCAGTCTCCGTGTCGGCAGCTCGGGAAGTTGGCGAGGGATACCAATGGGACTGTGTTCAGGAGGAATCCCAATTGCACTCGCCGAGGGCTTCACTATGTTTCACTTCTTCATACGGCTGGGCCTTGCAGCAGACATTTGATGCGAAGACTATCATTCACAAGCCGCAACGATACATACTACATAACCAGTCCTCGATACCGGCGGCATCCTAGATTCCTGCGCCGGGTCTTTTATATACTGCTCGTCTAGCATCCATAACGTACTGTCTATGTTCAGGGACTCTTTCTGGAGATTGAAAATACGTGCAGCAAAGACACATCTGCTGGACACTTTATGGGACATCCTGCTTCCAGCTTTGCGCACGACACAGTGTTGTCGGAGATGTCGTTGCACATTATCTGCCCGAAACCACATACCTTGACTGGCTGCTACACGATGCAATGCTGCATTCCATGCGGCTCGTGTGGTTCCTTTCACCCGAGACACATCTTCATAAAGGATCCGAGCAGCAACTGGGCAGGGCTGGCTGGAGCAGTAGTTCACGGCGCTACAGGTCTCGCATGTCGGTGGAGTGTGGCAAGCGTGCTCACCGGAGGAGCAACTTACCGGACAGCCTGGCACTCACTATGGGAACAGGCCGCACTTTAAAGTTGAAATTTACTAGCAAAGCAATCATGTACTACTGTTATCTGTTCGACAAACCCTTGTGAGTTTTCTCAGTAGCCACACCCGGGTCATGGTTAAATCTTACGACTACAGCAGGAAAGAGAATGGAACGTTGGTTAGCATCGGCATGGTCCGGGGTAACTCGCCTGCATCTCGGGGTGCACAGCTGTATACGATCGGGAGCCATGACCAATACCTGAGCCAAGCAATAAATCACGATCCCATGCACGACTGATCAGGGAAAGGTCAGGTCTGGGGCTCACGTACGTTTTCACAGCGGCCCGGCCAGACTGCGGCTGAATGCATTTGCCACACGCAGCTCACACTCACACAAACACAAACACAAACACAAACGCCGACATTTGTGCAAGCTGCTGACAAACCAACTCGGAGTCGCTGCAGGAAGACTTAAGCGCGGCTGGCGCCTGAATGCTGCGCAAAATCAACAGGCATAGTGACTTAGTGCAAGACAGCATACTAGCCAGCCATGGGGCCTTTCCGGCTGAACTCAGGTCGCGCAAGGGATACACAACTCAAAATTGAAACGGATGATCTGATAGATTCTCGAAACCATACCAGAAAGTTCAAGGCGCCAGCTGCTTCTGTGTTTGCAGCATGGAGCCACTCCGGGTTGGAAGATCTTCATCTATTTCGGTGATCTGCTTGGCACCGGAAGCTCCTAGAACATAGAGCAGCAGAAGATTGCTCCGAAGGCATCGCGTCGGTTGGACCATTGGAGGCTGATGGATAAGGTGCGACACTCCCAGGAGTGCTTGGGCAAAAGCCGCGCCAGGCGGATGCAAGTCACCAGAACGGAGAGTGCATGATGGCATGAAGGAGCAAAAAACGTCTTGGGAAGGTCGCATTCACTGACTGCTCGTACGACCTTTTTCCGGAGGCTCCGCGCTCTTCCCACTGGAGCAGCTTACTAACCTGAGTGCCCGGCTTGAGCTGAAGCCGATTCGAGGACTTTCTGAACTTCCCGGAAGACAGAGCCAACATCTGCTCTCTTCACCTGGTCCTCTGTTCCCCATGAGAGCGCTGGGCACCAGGCGGTCAGGAGCAAAGGCTCCGCCGAAGAGGCGAGATCTTCGGATGGATTGGCCACCTTCAGGAGCCTGAGTTTCGTTGCGTTTACTGTACCATTGCCTGCCCGAGTCAGACTCCATAGCAGCAGAATTGAAATCGCATCGGTGACAAGAAATCTCGATGCGACAGACTCCTTGAGCGAGATTCACTCAGAAGGCCAACAGACAGATGCGGAATCGCCGAGCAAAGCCAGATAACACCAGGTGAGAAAGATCAACATTTCGAAGAAGCAGAGGCGTCTGAGATCTTGCGTCCACATGTTGAGCGAGGCTGACATTTGGTAAGCTGGTTTCAGGCTTTCCTACTTCGTGGCATGAGATGTTGTGGTGGGAGTTTGCGCTCTTACACAATTCATTTACGAATTACTGAATACAGTGTAGCTAAGGCCTTACTAGGCTTCGCTGTGGAAGACAAGTGGTGGTGGTGGTGGTGGTGGTAAAAGAAATAGCAGCAGATAGTGAGAATGATACAAGAAGAGTAACAGTAGTTACAGGCCTTTAGGCGCACAGTGTCAGGAGCAATGAATAGCTCTCCCTCGTCAGCACTGGCAGTGTTAGTTCTTGGAAAGATGGACAGCAGGAACGAAAATGAAAATTGCCGAACAACGTTATCCCTAACAAACGTGAAAAAACAAGGCGTGAAAAGTAGGCATATTAGACTGGGAGGATGCCGCCCAGATTCAGCAGTCTGTCCAATTCTCTGCGCAGCTCCTTGAAAAGGACGGCGGATTTCTCATCCTGCCGGATGGTGAGATGGTTGTAGCGGGTTGTGAGCAGTTGATGCTAGGACAGGAGACTTGCCCAATCGGCCCTGGCAAAAAAGAGGTGCTACCTGGAAGTTTTCATCTCCAGGTTGTTCAGTTTGGCGCTCACACTTGGAGTCAGGGGCCCAAGAGTGCCCAGTTCGCCGAGGTAGGCGTACTCAGCCCCCAAGAGGCAAAAACGACTTTTTGCCACCCGCCCAGCTGCTTCAGAGACAACAAGCGACCCCCCCCCCCCCTTGTTTAAAACAAGAATGGCCCAAACCCAACTACACCGATACAAGAGAAACAAGCGCGAGAGTCGCCGAGCCGCATCTGTCGAAAGATGGGGCCGGACCTTTCTGCAACCAGGTATCATGGCTTCTGCATGTAAGCCAAGATTTCGTTAGCAAGCACTGATGTAAACAAGTCTGTACGAGTCCATGCCATCGTACTTCTGCCTGTGTCAAAAAGTACAAAAGAACATCATGTCACTTCGGGCGCTGCTTGCTCCCAAGTTGATGTAGTGGCGGGATTCAGAGTCTCCTCATCACTGCGGTACTTGGCGACCCTTTCCTCGTGCTCAATCTGTTTGGGAAGTCTGAGAACGTACGTCATGTATGTATATACATACCTGTGTAGAGTCTAAGAATGAACGACCCATGCCCCCGCGCAGGAACCTTCGCCTCGAAAGTCATGCCATCCACTGTGACACACTTCCTCTCCTGCCAAGGCGGCCACAGCGGAGTTCTTTGCGTGAGTGAGCGCTTAAATTGGATGGTTGCTGCGCTGCCCACCGGCTCAGACCAGACTGGAGCTTCCACTCGCAAGTCCTTGGGAGAAATCTTCAGCTCACCACCGAATAGTAGCAGCGGTATGGCTCCTCCGCGCAAGAAGGCACCGTGCAGTGGCAATCCGAGCACAAAGATCCCTTCTTCGAACTCCCGGCCTGGCACAGGATATCGTGATATCGAAGTTACTGCAGAAAGTGCCAGTCCGCCGAAGCAACAGACTGACTAACACTACGCTACGGCCAAAGCACAACAGCACTGCCGGCAAACCCGTGCGCCTACCAGTGTTGTATCGTGAAGGTAGATCTGTGTGGTCTTCACTTTGTCGTGGAACAAGAGCCAACCATGGTTGGCCGCAAAGTCCTGTGCAGGTCTGCAGCTTTGAATGCATCAGGCTCCACTCTCAGCCGACATCTCACGATGGTGACGTCCTTAGAAACATAGACGAGTGCGCTTCATTTGCCCGTCCCAGCAACAGGTCTGGTCCTGAGCCTTGAAATTCAGGCTCGATGGGTGGGGCGTGCAGCGCTCATTTTGGCGACTGACGAAAATCTGGTACCTTGTTCTCACAGCTTCTGCACATGGGGTTCCAATGAAACCATCCATCCCATGCACTAGTCGACACTGCTGAGCTCGCTCTCATCGTCTCTCGGCTGCAAAACGCGATTCTCAGTAGTCGTGCGGCCTTCCAGCGGGTCGACACTTGGCAACATAACATCGCATCTTGCCAGGGCACGAAATTCCGCGCGAGTTGCTCTGCTTCCTGGGACTGCATTCATCGAATGATGCCAAAGCATGAGCTCCAACAACCGATTGCACTGGCATCGACTTCCCACCACTGCTGGTGCGTGCTGAACAGTAATCGGCCAAGAGTCTGCACCTGTGCCACGCTGGGAAACAGGCCGGCACACAGGACACATCGCCTTTGAAGCATGCGCCATTGATTCCAAGATGGGTTCGTGGGCTGTGGGCTTTGATCGGAGGTCAGCCAGTAGACTCACGAGGTTGGGCAGCAGACATTTCAGTGAGGTACCTCCGATCAAGCACCCAAGCAAGCCCTTAGAATTGCTGCCAATGCTAGCGAAAATGAGCGTCTCAAGATGTGACACTTTTGCCCAGTCACACAAGGGACATGTTCTTTTTGTGAATGTTCACCTGAGACTGCTGAGCAGGAGAGAGGGCCGCACACTGTGATATCGTGAATGTTCATGTGGTATCGCTCAGCAGGAGAGAGGGCCGCCGTATGATGTCACAGTGTCACAGCCTACTTCCCTGCACGTCCATCGCAAAGCCGCATGTAAATGCAAAGCTTTCTCAGTCCGCCTACCCCCATTGACAACCTGAACGGTAACAGCCCAAGAGCCTGCTCCCCTCCATCCTCCGTCTCCTCCAGGGCAAACCCAGTCTCAGTGAGGTGACGGAGGAATTGCCTGCCACAAACGGCTCTTGGGCATCCACGGATCCAGCCTCACCCTGAGCACGGCAGCTGGAGCTGCAAACGAGAAAACGAACTGAGAAGTTATATACCGTTCGCAGTTATGAGAAACTGCCTCCAATTCGCCCATGCCTGCCCACATAAGTAAGTGGCCCTGGTTTTAATGTGACCCCCCACTTCTCATGATTGTAATGCCTGCCGGCTGTGCGACATCTCTACAGGTGAGCGCAGTGTCACAGGGCTGACCCTGAACATGAACCTGAACCTTGACACGTCTCGCCGTGCCTTCGGAGTTGCGCCTGACCAGTTGAAGAGGCAATTCGAACTCATCAACGACTGGTGTTTATTTACAGGGCCATCAAGACAAACAATGCCAACTGTAAATCACCGGAAGCTGGGAGCTCCACCATGTCATCAAGCGTAGAAGCCGAAAGCCCGAAGCGGTCGCACACCTGTCAGAAAGCGATCTGCAGTGCCAAAGTAGCAACACCCGACGCACAGTCTGCCAACACGATATCCACATTCCGAACTCTTTCGCTTTTCAAATCTTAAGCAAACCTCTTAAGCAAACTGTTCCAACCTGCTTTCTAGTGTCGCCCGCCTCCCAGGCTGCATCACGGCTGACCAACTTCTGCTCCTGGTACCTTTGACACAGACATGGTGGCTCGGGCGTGCTCTCATCCTTCGGTGCAGGACACATCCATGAAAAGCCAGTGAGCCAGAGCAAATCTCTCCAAACCTCCGGCCGGGAAGTTCCTGACCGCAGGACACGACACAGAGCAATCTCGCTCGAGAGCCTTTGCCGCCACTCACAAACTCGCCAAGAGGTTGCGGGCCTTCTATGCAAAAAGCATCCCCGGAAACACAGCGCACACCCAGGTCTCAGTCAAGCTTTTTCCAAGTCCAAATCTACCTGCGGTCGATCCTGACGGTTTGGATGCCACTGCAAGTCCATTGCATCTCATCCTCTGCTAAAGCACTAAACCAGAATGCGCTTGGAATCTAAAGATACGAGTAGCAGTCAAGACATGCTTCGTCCTCATGATTTCGCATGCCATGTTCGAGCAGTAAGTCCGTAGTGGTACGAGTAAGGAATCCAATCGGTGCCACCGTTGCTTGCCCGGCTTGTTGCATGCAACCAGGAGAAACATCCGTAGCAGGAAAGGGCACATGTTGGTCCTGGCTGAGTCATCCCAGTCATTCTTTTTGTCTGGCACTGTCGGGTTTCATGAAATTGGAACATCATCGACAGTGCCCGACTTCAAGGCCATGCACTCTCACGCCCCTGAGAAACCATTCGTCTGAAGATGCTCTTGTATTTGACTACGTACTATCACTCCGAGTTCACCTTGCCAACCAAGCTACTTGTCGAAAGCTTTCACAATAGCCAGCTGATCACTGCCTCGGCTCAAATATCAGCAGTAAGAAAACGAGAGACCACGGAATATTCAGCGGTTACCGAAACTAAACTAGATTCCACCAAATGCACACGAGAATTAGCATGCAAGCTTTCGAGCGCTGTTGATCGAAAGCCTGAAGATGACAACACGTCTGCTGCCGGTGGGGTGCACCCTACACAGCGCGTTCAATAGCCCTCACTTCGTTCAAGAAAGAGAGGATTCCACACATCGTGCTGACTCGCTGACTGGAGAATCCAATAACTTTCAAACAAAGGCATGACTGCTCACAGCTGACAGGATGCAGCCTCCGGCCTCCGTGTCAAGGTGTACTGCATATGCAAAAATGCAGACATTTTGCATGCATAAATGAATATCTACATGCATAGCCAAGTAGGTCAATAGATGTATCTGTGCATCTGTTGATGAATATACTGTATACATGTGTGTTGAATCATTCGTACATTGGTGTGTTTGCCTATTTCTCCGTATGTCTTTACCTATATAAACATGTGCGTGCGTGTGCCCATCCATCCATGCATCCGTCCATCCATCCCTCCATCTGTCCATCCCTCCTTCCCTCAATCCCTCCATCCCTCCTTCCCTCAATCCCTCCATCCCTCCATCCCTCCGTCCCTCCATCCGTCCATCCGTCCATCCGTCCATCCGTCCATTCGTCCATCCGTCCATGCATCCATCCGTCCATGCATGCATGCCTACACACGAAAATATGCATGTATTCACGCGTATATGTACAGATGTACATACATACGTCAATGTAGACAGACAGACAGACAGACAGACAGACAGACAGACAGACTGAATGCATGCATGCATGCATGCATGCATGCATGCCGCATATAGATATAGGTAGATTCTACGTCTTCGTATATATAGAGATAGAGCAGGCAGTTAGTACATATTGTGGACACCGAAAACTGGAAACTGGTATATTCTATACATTTCGGTGTGCTATCTGTGGCGCCAGGAAGCTGAGATAGCCCCAGGCCCCCTGGCGCTCTGTCACCTGGAGATCCTCTGCAAAGGAGGCTGTGGGTCATGGGTCGGGCACGGCAAGGAAACCTGACCGGTCAAAGTCACCTCCTTGTTGCGGTTGAAGCTGCGGACGAAAGGAGACTTCCTCGGCAGCTGTCTAGTGAGAGTTGCTTTGGCATTGCCTATCATAGCTAAACTGGGTAGCAGGATTCCTCGAGAAGCCAGTCTGAGAAGCCACATGCTCTTCAAGCCAGGCCGCTGAGACAAACAAGCTGCAATGGTGAGAATGGGTGCCAGACATTGACAAAGTGAGCCATATACCAGCATTTTTCCTGACAGCTCATGGAAATACCCCGAGACACTCAATACTTGTTTCCGGCACTTGGGAAGTCTGTTTCTCTCTATGCGGAGGCGGTTGCTGGAAAGGTCGACCAAAATGCTTGCAAGCAGCCTATTCGGGCATCCACCGGCATGTGCGCCAAGTGGAACCCCAGCGGTGTAAGACCCAGCTTCGAGCTGCTCTCGAGGGCACCAATAGCAACCTGAAGGATGGCGTCCGAGAGTTTGAAGTGAATATTCTGAGTTGACTCTGTTGCTTCCAATGTTCCGTCCGCCCCAAGAACTGACAAGCTTCAGCACGTCTCAGACAAGTTGCAAGGGAGCGGATCGCCCGTTCCACGGCCTCGCAGTTTTACAAAAACCAGCCGAACCTGAACCCGCTATCTGCGCGCGCTAGGAGTAACCTGCTGGACCTTCCTTCAATCAAACACGTGTGCTTGGCAGCAAGCACCGGCACAAGACTTTACCTCAGCAACCTGTATCAGCAGCACGGTTACAAAGGAGACTTCACGCCTCTTTCTTCATGGTACAGTCACTGGGAATGACAAGCAACAAAGGCCTAACTTAGAGACAAAGATTTGACGGCACGGCGAGGCAGCTGTTCTTGCAGACATCGAAGCTTTCGTGTTGCGAGCCTTCTAGATCTTCTAGCCCAACAGTCCAGTTTCTGCAGTGCTGCGAGCATGAAGCTCAACAGCCAAGTTTGAGGTCTTGACTCATTGTTGGGGGAGCGTCACCATGCAGAGGTTGGGTTAGAATCCTGTCAACTACTGGAGACTTTACATCTTACATCCCACGGGAGCTTAGGCGGAGTCTCCCGGCCTCAAGAGCTGGCGGCTCAGGCGCCAGCCGAAGGAAGTCGCCTGGGTGGTCCCCTAAGTCCAACAGCCGCAGCTGCAGCACGAGCTCCTGGACGGGTTGAAGGACATGTTCAGACTCCAAAAGGCTGCTAGGAGAGTGGCTGGTTTAGATTAACTGGGCTTTCAAGAGGAACCTTGGCCTGGCAGTTCGAGGGCTTCTTGTTCGGCTTCCCAGACACAGACCTAGAGCCCAGCAAACTTCATATCAGCATCACAAACCCCCGGAGAGGCCGAGAGCTCACGCCGAAAGGCAACCTTGCTAATCTAACATCTTCTCATGCCGCCATGCGTGATACCGGCGGCTTCAATGCTTCCAGAAAGCGGATCAAGTGTAGAAACCTCCAAGAGCTTTCAAGATCGGTGCAGCACCCATGTTCATGTTTGGCGGGTTGTCCCGCAGGATTTCCAATTTGTTGTCTCGTTGTGCTAAGAGCACGGGACAGAGAACAATGATCGTAACTACATCAGGGATCTTCGACATGGTGCTGATCATTATCCTCGCGATCATGCCTGCAGCCTCAGACCTTCTGAGGAAGCCCACTGTGGGAAGGGCTACACCCACATGTTTTGATGTCGCATGATACCTTGCAGTTCGGCCCGATTTTCCATTCTTGTGCTGCGATTTGTCACTCACCGCTGAGACTGCGAAAGCTGGAAGCATGGAAATGGCCAGCCCTCGCTGTTGCCACTTCCCGCTTGGAGCTGCGTTGCAGCTTGTGCAAAAGGTTCCAGACCAGACCGCAAGCTCGTGCACAATGCACGTTGGAAGCCGACGTGCTGCTTGTGCTTCACACTTCTCGTGTGTTTGTCTATCTCTGTCTACGACTCTGCCCCGGAATGCGGATGCAGACGTCCGTGATGTGCACCGGGTCCGACGATGCTACCCTCAAATTTGGTCTGAGAGAGCCTGAGAGACCACACAAAATCAGCCTAGATTGGTAAACAAATTCGCGGAGAGATGCGCTGAGCTCAGTTCGGACGGCTGCTGTACATCCACTCTAATTCCAAAGCTCAATGCCTGAGACCGCTGCAAGCTCCGCAGTTGTTGCCCGAGCTGCTTGTGCAGATACTTTTCAGACGTGCATTGCGTTCCACTCCTTCACCCGTGGATGGCTTGCCACTCGCTCCACGAGAGCTTTCAGTCCCGGGCAGGCATCCAATACCCGAGGATCGATACCCGGAACAAACGTCCCATCCAAGATCCCCGCAACAAAGACATACCTGCAGAGCAAAGCAGTCACCAATCATGTCTTGGACTGAAAGTTCGCTCACCTAGTTCATCGAATGAAAAAATCTTGTTCGCACGCGGCCGCAGCTCATGCTCAGGTCACAGATCGTCATCTCGTCTCCACAGAAGTACGGGCCGCCAGATGCGGCCAAGAACTTCCTTGGCTTGGCGCCGGCAATGTTATGGGATCACACTGCGTCATGCACTCCCAGCATGAGGCTTGGGGGACCAAACAGCTGATGACGAGCCGGCGCACGTGTTTGCACAGTCTCCACCAGCGAGCTGGGTTACAATAGCAGGGATTGTGCCATGAGTCTCCAACTGCTGGAACCGCGCCGGCAGAACGATGTTGTTTAAGCTCTGCAGCACCTTCTCTTCGAAAACGATTCTTGAGAAGTGATTTAGTTGACAATGATACCGCAAAAACCTTCGGCACTAGTTATGTGCCCAATCGCCACCTCCTCCCGCATAGAGTCAGGTAGCTGCACCAGAGGCTGCTTGGTCACCGGATCGCGCCCGAGGAGGGAGTTGTACCAGCACGGGCCGAGGACCTCCAAGATTCTCGTACGGGAGGCATGTTACACGCAAGAGCACAAATCGGCTGCAGGAGTCATCCGGCCGAGTCGCTTTCTTCATGTCCACCAGCGCGTCTTCTACGGCATCGCAACGAAGTTGCAGTCGAAGGTTCTCTGGATAAAGATTGGCCTCACGCCCGGCCCACCGAAGAATGGCCTGGCAGTGCTTGGAAAGCCACTCTCATTCGCCTCAAGCAGATCTTCGAGAGAGGACGATGTTTCGTAGTATTTTGACTTTAAGCTGACGCTTCCTGATGTCGACTCCCTCCCTCGATTTGCGGTACCCGAATACAGGCTATGTTGGTCTGTTCTTTGTAGGCTGTGTGAAAAGCGCCTGTGTCTGCGCAAAGGTTTCACCATCCAGCTGAAGGACGGGGACCTGACCAAAGGGCAGCTTGCCCTGGGTGCCCATCTTCGTGATCTCGTCGTACGACACCTGGCTTGATTTTAATATCTATATTCGTTCATATTATATGGCTTGTCGATCCCGAGTCGTGCGGCCAGTTCATGGGCCGAGGTACTCGCTTGTCCTCGAAGTCCACCTTGCCGATGAAAAGTGCGAGCCGGATCGGTTCTGCCATGGCCTTCACATCCAGATAGACCAAAGTCGGCCGAGCCATGGCGGGAATAGCAGCGTCTCAATCCTTGTATCACACGTCCTCAAACAGCAACCCTACCGCCTACCTACCACGTCCGTGAAGGCGCTGCAGGGCGATGTTGCTTGTTGGTCTTCGTGCGACTCCAGAACTTTCAGTGTGCTTTATCGGAAAGCACTATGTGTGTGGATGAGCTTATGGGCTGGCACGAACTGCTTGTGGCTTCTTCCAAAAGATTGGGCCGATGACGACGCAAGCAGGAGCGTGAGAAGTCTCACGCGTACGTAGTAGCAATAGCAAATGCAGCGCAGTAATGCTGTAGGAACAGTAACGAGAACACCGGAAGTGGTGGCGGCAGCAGCACTAGCAGTCACTAGCACTAGCATTTCAACGAGCAGTGCTGTTGGTCTTGTTGCTGGTAATTGCTTCTGTGCGACTCACTATTGTTGGTCCTGTTCCTTCTCTTCTTTTTGGTGGTGGTGATGGTGGTGGTGGCGGTGGCCTGTGGCGGCGGCGGTGGCCGTGGTCTGCTTTGCGGTTGCCGGTTCCTATTGTGACAGTTGCTGCTGTTCTCGTGTTGCCATTGGGCCACGGTGGCTCAGTAGCGGCATTAAGAAAACCATATCAAGTAACGAAGCAGCAGTGTAAGGTGTGGTTGCGAGGTCTCCTCCAAGGCCGTGCGCTGCATTTCACAGAGCCTCAGCAGCGGCTTTTGATGACGTGCGCCAACAACAACTATCGGAAGGAAGGAACCTCAAAGTTCAAGTGGAAGAGCCGTTCTTTGACAAGCTCAGGGTGCGTAAAGGCAAGATCGTGGCGCGACTTATGCTTGCTCGGGAACAGCAGCACACGGCCGAAATGTTCGAGGCAATGGGAGCAAATTGCTTCAGCCGGGGTGCGTGTGCTTTGGCAGCTCCTTTTCAAAGAAGTTTTCTGCACACAGCCGCCAGCAAATGCCTTGCGACAAGTTCGCTGGCAAACCTGGACCTGTCGAGCCTGTCGGGCCTGGCCTGGGCGTGTCCTTCCTGCTCGTCCTGCTCGCTGCTTCGCAGCAGCTTGCGAGACCCACACTGTGGAAAACCTCGGTACACGATGCTCAGCATGCACAAGGAATCTTGAAATGTGCTGGCTTGCGGTCGCCAGGGGGATGGTGCCAGTCAAGTGTTGTCGGCTAAACCTTCCACTATATCAGGGGTGAAAGGAGAAGGAAACATATAATAACTTGACACATGTGCCAGGAAGCACGCTGGTGGAGCTCTGCGGTGAAAACCGCGTCTCTTTCACGTGGCAGGAGTCTATGACATGGGTGACGTCGTCGATGGTGATGGAAGTTTCTGCCTGGTGTTGTCGCAAGATCGTACTAAAACCTCTGCCCGACGACCGATCCGTACGTAGTGCTAGAAAGCACGCAACCATAATAACACGCGACAGCGCTCTGAAGAGCCTCAGCAACCTGCGCGCTGTCCCCTAGTCTAGCTGAGCGCCGTGCAATGTTGGTGGAGACCTTGATTCATCAGCCCGTGCTGCTAGCAAAGCAAAGCTACATGAGTTGTCTGGACACTGCAACTGCACCTTAACATACCTTAACAACATGAATCTGAGTCTGAGGCAGCATCTTGCAAGTAGATTTTTCAGCCGTAGCCGTCGTAGTTTGAGCTAGCAGAGAGCTTTCTTCATTGAGGCGAAGGTGTGGAATCATTCTACAGCAAAGATCGAAAGCTCCGCAGCAACATCCTATATGAAAGTCCATCTGCGCCCACGCTCGAGCGGGCAGATCAGCAGGAGCACGGCAGCAACTTGCTGCCCAAGCGCCGTATGTACAAAGTGCCCTTGTCTACCAGGAACCTGCTCAAAGAGTGGTGCAGGGCCTGGGTCCTGGGCCAAACTGGAAAAATCCGAGTCTAACCCCAGGTGTCACAAATATAGCGCTGCGTGCCTTGGCCGGATCCGGAAGCCAGAACACTGACAGCACTCAGTTCTCCGGGGCCCCCGCATCTGTACAGATTTAGAGAGATTCTCTGCGCACACTTGCACACAGCCGTCGCTGTCCGTGGTAGGCAGCCGAAACTTGAACTGTGTCGTCATGTTTCCAGCGTAGGCTTGCCATTTAGTTTCGAACTGTGCACACATATACTCTCTACCTCGCCCCTGGGACCGTTACGCTGAAGCAGCCGCAAGCGCTGGCTCGCAGTCTCCAAACTGAGGCCTGTGGACTGCGCCAACACACATCACGAGCGGACGAAAAACGAAACCCCACGGGCCTGCATGCTTTTGCAGGACCTCCACAAAAGCGTCGAAGACCTGTCTCTTGCACTCTTCTATATACTCTATGCACCTTTCCTTGATGCTGTGGGGGTCTTCTGTGGAACTTCGTGAGCTGCGCAGCTTGAATATGAGCCACTACAGGGCGGTTGCAACGAGTCGTAGTCGTCTTCTAAAAAATCCGACCCTATCTCTTAAACTGCGAAATGCACTCGGGCTGAAAATTGACAACTTCAGGGTACCGTACCTTCGCCGATCAACATAATTATACAAGGGATTTCGCGGTCGTCGTAAAGGCGGAAGCCGTGACAGCAGTAGCTGTAGCAGTGGTGGTGTAGGCAGTGGTAGTAGTAGCAGCAGCAGCAGTAGCGGCAGTCGTCGTGGCAGTAGTAGGAGCGGTAGTAGCAGCAGCAGCAACAGTAGCAGTGGCAGTGGCAGCGGCAGTGGCAGTGGCAGTAGGAGTAGTAGTGCGGTAGTAGCAGCAGGAGCAGCAGTAGCAGCAGTACTAGTCGTCGTCGTCCTCGTTGTCGTCGTAGTAGTCGTGGTAGTAGGGTTAGAAAGCAGTGGTAGTAGCAATAGTAGTGGTGGTGATTGCAGTGGTTGGAGTAGTCGTAGTAGTAGTACTAGTAGTTAGTAGTTAGTAGTTAGTAGTTAGCAATTAGTAGTGAGTAGTGAGTAATGGGTAGTGAGTAGTGAGTAGTGAGTAG